CCTCGCTCCCCAATTTCCCACCAAATCGGTGACAATTACTTTTTTTTCATTACATTTAACGCTTTCCACGCATAAATGGTAAACATTCGATGCCATACCGCATCGTAGTATTTTTGCGACGAAAGCGGAAACTAAACAAAGGCTTACAGATCGATGCCGGCATGCCGCAGCAGGCGCTGTCACACACTTGCAGGCAAATAAAGCTGCAACTGAAAGAGACGATGGTGCACGGTAGGATTAGGTTGTACCTGATGCACTCGGCCTTGCCATATATATATGCACGTGTAATTTCCATTGCAGACGTTTTATTTGCCAAACATATGCATGCATACATGATACATCATCTCCAGTTCCATTACGGGCCAGTGCCAAATAACGTTTGCCAGCAAGAGCCGAAGCATGCTTCTAGTACTACCATCTTAGGAAACCGTTCAAATTAGCAAAGGAAAACTAGTGATGACCGCATACCACCTGGCCAGTTTGGTGTACGGTGTACCGTGATAGCTGCCTGTTTGGCACGCTCTAATTTTACAGCAACTTTTAAGACAAAATATTCTCATTCTGCCAAGGTACTAAGCAGAATCCTCTGTAAAGCTCTGTTTGAACCAACTCGGTTAACTATTAGCTCTGTTAGATACATGAGAAACCAGCTAATAGCTAGCTGTTAGTTGAGTGGTAAATAAGAGACATATAGATGGACTTAGCACCAGTTCAATTTGTGCTCACAACATTAAACAGAAAATAAACAATAGGTAAAAATTAGGCAATCAGGGTGACATGGGAACGTGCCCGCGGCCACCTTTTTCTTGTGTTTGAGCACTGTTTTCCCTTTCTAATCGACGGTCTTCCTTTTTTTCCGAATTTGTCGCGCTTCTCCGCGTGGCCGGAGAAAGACGAGTAGACGACCAGCCGCGGCTCCAGTCTGTAGAACCATCGCGGAAACGGCTTATAAACCCAAGAAGCAAAACACGGACGAACAGCGAAAATGATGCGCACCGAAGCAACCCGACTTTCTCTACTTATAAAAACGTGGAATGGTGAGCAGTTACTTCCCCCACTTGATCGCCCGTGGCGCAGGCGCGTATAGCTAAAGAAAAACATTGCGCTCCTCGTCAGCTGCAGAGAGCGCAATCACACGGCTCCTGCGCCCAAAAGAACCCGGTTCCTCGCCAGCTAGCTAGCCTGCACCGCGTCCCACCGGCCACAGCCAGCGGCCACGGCCAGCCAGCCGACCATGGGGCCAGCGGCGAGACGACGACACTGCCCGGCTCCGTCGTCGGTGACGCGCAGCAGGCGCCGTTCCCGTGGGAAGCTGGTGCTGCTCTGCGCGGCGCTCGCGTGGTGCGCCGTGCGCGCGCTGGAGTGGGCGTGGTGGCGGCTGCGGCGCTCGCCCGGGTGCTGCGGTCGCAGGGCCTCCGCGGCACGGCGTACCGCTCCCTCGCGGGCGACGCGCCGCTGACGGAGCAGCTCAACCGGGAGGCCAGGTCCCGGCCCTTGCCGCTGGGCTGCCACGACGTCGCGCCCAGGGCGATGCCCTTGTTCCATCAGACCATGAAGGAGCACGGTACGGCGCTACACGTTGCTTTCCTTTTCCTGCAGGCTACTCTTTCTTTGGGCACGCACACCCGTACAAAGTCTGCCTTGCTTGGTCTGGTCTCAAAATTTGCGAAGTCAACAGGTCCTGTGTCTACGAGACATGCCGCGGCCAATTGGTTCTTTTGACTGAAATCCTTCAGTCATCTCTTCAGTTGATTTTCTCGAAAAACACCTTCATCCCCTCCATATATACATCGAGTTCAAAGTTGACTAGTACCAGTTCATTGATTCTTTGTTCGATTACCAACTAGTACCCTTTCGCTGGATCCTGTTTTCTAGGTTCCAGATCTTTACACAATTTTCTCTTCCGTGTTTCAAAAACAAAACAAAGATGTTTACATAGCTGCTGATGGACTAGTTTTCCACAATCAGTCTCTCAACCAGTAATAAGTGAGATACATTATGCGTAGAGGAAGAGTCCAGCTAGTTTTCCCATTTCTGAAAACACATGTATAAGACAAGAAGCTTTTCAACGAGAGGAACAGTACTAGCAAGAAATTTCCATCATATTGTCAATAACCACATCACATGCACCCAGGAGAGAAACTACTAAGGTCTTATTTGGCACAGCTCAACTTCATTATTGAAGTAGTTTTTTTTTTTTGCAAAATAGCTTCACAAGCAACTTTCTCATTGAAGCTAATCTGTTTTTAAAAAATCTGTTTAGCAAATCAGCTTCACGTGATGGACCAAATGAATAAAATAACTATAATACCCCATGTCTATTTTTTCTATTTTTTCTCACCGGATTTTTCCCCTTCGCACGTCTTCTTCGTGTGGGTGTCTGCGCGCCGGGAGCTGCGCCCCGTGCCTTCCCCGCCGCTTGCTCAGGCCGGGCGGAGCCGCCTTCCTCTCCTCAGGCGGTTGCGAGCCTGCTCCGCAAGCTGGCGCCTGCGTTTTCCCCACGGCTGTGCTACAAGTTCGCAGACGAGCGCCTTTTCGCATCTTCTTTGTACGCCACCGCCGACGGAGCGATTCCGCCGAGTCGCTGCTTTCCGCGCCATCAAAGACAACATAGGCGTGTTCGCGAGGAGGTGAGGAGCCTCCGGAGCCACGCCGCCTCTTCTTTTTTCGCTATTCGTTTATTGCGCTCTGCTCGCTTCAAGAAACACCGCCACGCCATTTTTCTGATGTTGTGAACCGCCGCCGTTGCAACTTTCCGCCGCCAAGAACCAGCCAACCGAAGTTCGCGGACGCCGACCGGTGCTATAGAGTCGCCGCTCACGCTTTCGGACCGGAGCGCGAGATCGAGAGCTGTCCGTCGCGCTATCCACGCGCCTCCCCCGGCAGCGTTCATGGTTCTTGGCACGGCGCAGACAAAGCGCCCAGCCCTCACGCTTCTTCCCTTTATACCTCACGGCCGTGGGTTCGAACCTACGCCTTCTGGGCGGTTAGGCCTCAAAGATCAAGATCCCCGATGGCAGCACTATGGCTGGGTCGACCACCACACACGCGCAAGAATCGAGCCTTGGCCGGACGGCCGCGCCTGCAGGCACGCCTCGGCGACTATGTCCTAGCTAAGCTGCCATGCCTGTGCCCTGGAGAGGAGGCGGTGGTTCAGTGTGATGTAACCGCACCAAATAGTACACTTTCGAGGCGCCTGCCTTCCATCGACACTAAGCACCCCATAAACAAGCTATATTAGATGGTTCACGAGCACACCCCAAGGGAGAACTCGAATAATCCATGTTTTCCTCCGTGATCTAATAATGAGAATGATTTTATAATACTTAGTCCATTTTATACAACCGTAGTTCTTAGAAATACATTATTACAATACTAAGTTTAGAGTGCGGAATTTAAACAGTGAATTACAATAACCATCTAACGGTAGAATACAAGGATCCGTCTGCGTTTTACCGTAAGAATCTCCACCCAACAAATGCCTACTCTTCAAGCTACACCTACAAATGTGGGTAAATAAACCCTAAGTTCATAATGTACTGCAAGACTTACCTCGCTTAGTGGGAATAATTTCCCGACTTAAAGGATATGATAAGCTTTATGGTTTATTGGGTTTCCTTTTTGCAAAAAGCAATACTAGTAGTGAATCTTTATGTATGTGTTTTATTAGCAAACATGATTAGTTCATTAGCTAACCATTCTATGTAAGCACTGTTCTACTTTTAAGTAAGAATTGAGCAATCAGATCCTTTTCACCATCTTTCATCTTTCAGTTCTTACTACGGTGCTAGACCATAGGCAAGTCGTACCGGATTACCCGATGATTCAAGAATCAATGTGCCTAGCTAGGTACCCTGAACACACGCCCGCTTGTACCCCTGCATAATAAGCAGATCAACCCATCACTCTCCTATCAAGGGGTTCAGATCCCCATCCAAAATTAGACTCCAAGCCCCCACACCGAGTCCCGGACTCGAAGGTGGTGCTTAACCTCCACCATCCCCACCTCTAGTCACCATTCCGAAAGAGCCAAAACCCACGACAAGAGGGCAACGAGCCTTCCTCGCTCCCATAAACAAGTATGTGATCGTGATAATAAGTCTGTGACCTAACTAGAATCCAATGCATCGGTTTGGTTCTTAACCGACACCGGACAGAGAAAAAGCAAGTGTAACCAAGCTATGCCTCGTTGGCCGCGGGACACAACCCCTTACACCCACCAATACCCATACCATATCCCTGCCCGGTCTCTATTTCCTTTTACCATTTTATCATGAGTGATAATAATAATCACCTATTGTGAGTAACGACAGGTTACTCCCGCTATCGATAGCCTAAGCATAGTAGCTACTCGACCTATGCTAGTAGAACTCATAGGTAGGTTATCTATGCATGTAGTTTCCATAAAATGCATGTAACGTAAATGCACATCACACACACATATATATATTCAGTGCTTATTCAAAATAAGGGTTATGCACTGGGGCTTGCCTTGAGCAGGCGCGGTGTCAGCTCAGTCAGTCACTGGCAGCTTCGGGGCCTCCTCCTGCATGAGGATCTCCTCCTCGTACTCTTCAATCACCTTCTCGTACTCCTGCTCGTCCACAGTCACGAACTCCACCAACTTGTTCTCTACATGCACGCAATGACGATGCAACACTCAATATTAAGACAACAACAGTTCTTAAAATAAGAATACATCTACTAAGCCACTAAGCTAGCTCTAATGACTAAGATACCAAGCTAATCATCATTCCTCTCAAACCAATAGGGTTTCACCTACAAGTGCTACTTAGCAACAAAAATATATTCTTACTCTTATTAACGATTCCATATATACTACAACAAGGAGTACTTAGCTACCATATTTCTCAACCTATTCTAAGGCTACAAAAATTATAGTGAGCACATAATAATACAATGAATCTACTGTAAAAATTTCATGGTCAAAGCTATTACCAATTTGCCACAAAAATTCCTACAAATACTAATATAAATAATACTACACACTCACAAATGATTTAATAGCCGCTGTTATCAATAAATATATATATGAACTAAATTCACTAACAGATAGAGCACAATTTTAGAAACCTAACAAAATTAGTTTCACAATTTTTGGACACCTGCTCGAATTGATATGCTTTTTCTAACGTTCTACTTACAACATAAAATAATATGCTATTTCTAATCCTTAAAAAGGAAAACGATTCCCTCCCGCGCGGCCCAACTCGGCCCACGCAAGGCGCAGCCCACGCGCACAAACGGCCGGCGAAGGGGGAGCCCACGTGTGCGCCGACCAACTTGCAAAAACGCCCTCGCGTTCTCCGATAATACTACTAACACTATGTGCACTATTTCAACAGACTATGACTTTGCAACAAAACCCTCGCTCCTTCTCTCCTTCGCAACGGAGAGGTCCTTGCCTCACAGCACACGCCAACATGGTGTATTGCCGGCATCAAGCACTTCCCGCCAGCCCAATCAGGGACCTTTCCGCCTCTATCTAAGGGATCGGTGCTCACCTAGACGCCGACGCGAATCAATGGGCGGTGAAAACATGGGTCGGGGACGCCATAGCAAGGCCTGGCCATGCCGGCCAAGAGATCCCACGGCAACGACAAAGCGTTTGGTGAGCATGCCGTAACCACAAGGCGATAGGGGGGCGGCGAGAAATGATGACTCACTTGAGACCTATTTGGGGTGCTAGCTCGGCCAGAGCCAACCTAAGCAAAGCTGGCCACGTATGTCTGACGGAGGCGCATGGGCGCAATGGCACAACAAGCGCCCACAAATGAGGAGACGGCCTAGGGCTGCGGCTAAGCGTGGCGACGGGCGCAAAGAGGCTCAGGGCGGAGCTAAAGGTGCAGTCAATTTTACCGGGGGCTCAGTGCGGCGGCTGACCATGACATAGGGGGGATGGGTCTTAACGGCGTGGTGGCAGGTGCTGCTCCAAATTGGGGCTCGACTGAGCCGCAATAAAAGCGGGTGGGGCTACCAGAGGTTGTGGTGGCAAAGCATAGGCACAATGAATGGTGGGACGCGATGTCTCACCCAGGCGCACAGGAACGATGCAGCGACGGCGGGGAAGGGATGCGGGCAGAGAGGGAATGGATGGTATGGGGACGTGGCCACGACTCAACGTGGCTTGGCGTGACACTGATGGCGCGATGGGAACACCCCGTGGCCAAGCACAAGCCGACGGGCACACCCCCACAGCTGGTGCGACCCGCGTGCCTCCACACCATTAATGACGAGGCGACGGTGGCTCGGCTATGCGCGTCATAAGCCCAAAGCAGCCGTAAATGCTACACTCGAAAGGGCCGTGGCACGCCGATTGGCCAGTAGTAGTGCAAATCGGCGGAAGCACGTGGTGGTATGAAGCGGCGTGCAGCAAGGGGATGCGACGGCACTAGCGAAGAGGCAATGATGGGCGTGCGATGGCGGCCACGCAGATGGTACGTGCGCGCGCTACGCACGCGGCGCCCAGGACGTTGGGGCAGCGAGAAAGCGAGGACACGTGGGCACGACGGCTTAGCATGGGCGCAAGCAGCGCAATGACAA